AATCTGCCTGTGGGTAAAAACATTTTTTTAGTTTAGTTTAGTATACTAGCATTAGTATATTAGTTCATGTTTGATAGATGTGTGTTACAAGGATGACTGAATAAATGGATTTCTCTAAGTACCTTATGATAGATGCTTAATATGTGCTTTCAATGATTAGGAAGAGTTATTTAGTCTCTAAAGAGAACAACAAGACTTGGGCAAAAGAACTAAATACTAGATAGAACACATTACAGGTATGTCATTTGAAAAAAATATGTTTTCAGAAAGGAATTACACAAAAATCAATCACATTACTAACAACACTGACAATGTACATGCTGAAAATGAAATTAAAAAGATACTATCACAAACACACCAAAGAAAATGAAATACTGAGGTATATATTTAACAAAATGTGTATAGAATTTGTATCTGAAAACTACAAAATGCTAACGAAGAAATCAAATAAAGAGATCCCAAACAAATGGAGAGATCTGCTGTATTCAGAAGCTGGGAGATTCAACATAGTAGAGATAAGAGTTTTCCTCAAGTTAATTTATAGGTTTAATGCAATTTCCATCAATATTCCGGTAAAGTTTTCTGTAGTCACAATCTTATGCTAAAATTGATTTAAAAAGCAACAGGCCCTACAATAGCTAAAACAATCTAGAAAAAGAAGGATGAAGTAGGAGGAGTCACTATAATTGTCATTTAGTCTTACTATATATCTATGCTAACCAAGACAGAGCAATATTGGCACAGGGCTAGACATACAGATCAAAGGTATAGAATAGAGAATTCAAAAATAGAACCACACAAACATGCCCAACTGATTTTGAATAAATGAACAAAGGCAAGTCCATGGAGGAAGCATAGTTTTTTCAACAAATGGTGATGGAGCAACTGGACATCTGTCTGAAAAGCTAAACCTGGACCTAAATAAACTTCACACTTTACACAAATATTAACTCAAATGGACCACAAACAAATGTAAAACAATAAAACTATTGACAGAAAAGTTAGTTTTTAAAAAGACACAAAACAAATCTTCAGGATCCAGGGCTAGACAAAGAGTTGTTATACTTCACACCACAAGTATGATCTACAAATGAAAAAAATAATAAATTGAACCTTACTGCAAAGGATCTTGTTAAGAGGATGAAAAGATAAACTACAGATTGACAGAAGATATTTGGAAACCATATATCCAAAAAAGTACCTGTATCTAGAATATATAAATAATTCTCAAAATTTAAGAGAGCACAAATAATTCAATGAACAAACAGCAATAAGTCCTAACAGACGTTTCATGAAGAGGAGAGAGAGAGAGAGAGAGAGAGAGAGAGAGGGAGAGAGAGAGAGAGAGCAAATCAGCACATGAAAATGTGTAAAATGCCTAGCCACTAGGGAAATGAAAATTGAAACCACAGTGAGATATCACAATATATTGATGGTTACAATAAAAAATAATGACAAACCAAATGCTGCAAGGATGTGGAGAAACTGGATAATTCACAAATTGCTGGTGGGCATATAAAATGGTACGGCTACAATGGAAAATAGTTTGGCACTTTCTGATATGACTAGACATGCAAGTACCATACAACCCAAATTCATTCTTGTACATTTTCCCCAGAAAAATGGAAACTTATTCTCACAAAAACACATACATGAATGTCCATAGAAGCTTTATTTTCAATAGCCAACAACTGGAAACAACCCAGATGTCTTGCAATGACTGAATAAACACTGTGGTAATGTCCATGCTGTAGAAAACTACTCAGTAATAAAGAGCAACAAATTATAGATGTCTGTAACAACTTGGATAGATTTCAAAGGAATTATGCTGAGTGAACAATCCAATTTCAGAATGTTATATAATGTATGATTCCATTTAGTAACATTTTTAATTAAAAAATGTAGATAAAGAGAAAGGATTACTGGTTGTCAGAGGTTTGGGTTTGGATGGGGAGAAAGGTGAAGGGACAGCAAGAGGTATCGTTAAGGTGATAACATTGTTCTGTATCTTGACTGTTTCAATGCCAAGACTTTGATTATGAGATTGTATGACAGTTGTGTAAAATGTTACCATTGAGGGAAACCAGGTAATGGATTCACAGTATGCCTTTTTATATTTCTTGCAACTTAATATGAATCTGCAATTACCTCAAAAACAAAAAATCATTTTATTTTTATTTATTTAGTTAGAGAAAGCGTGAGTGGGGCCAGGGCAGGGAAAGGCAGAGGGAGAAAGAGAATCTTAAGGAGGCTCCACACTGAGCAGACATGACCTCACAACCTGGAGATCATGACCTGAGCTGAAATCAAGAGTCAGACACTTAACCAAGTAATAAGCCACTTGAGCTCACACAACATAAAAATCTTAGGAAAAAAAATATGGTGCTAAACAACTTAGTATGTTACTATTTTGGGGAGGCAATAAAATCCTTAAATGTACACTGGCTAGCTCTGCATGTGAAACTCCTGATAGGGCATAATTGAAGAAGGGGGTTAAAAATTGGGGGGGGGGGCAAGATTACAAGAAAATTTTACTTTTTTTTAATAAAATGAACTTATTCCAAAGAAAGGAAATTGTCATACAGCTCTCCTTCATTTATTTTTTTCATGTAAAAATAAAACAAAAAAAGTTGGAAGGAGAAAATTGAATGAAAAGCCAGGTAGCATGCAGCAAAAAAGTATGTGGTATTATTGCATCCTGAACAGATACCAAGAGAAGGGAGGAAGAAAGTTCTTGTTGGTTATGCTGATAGTAATCTTAAGGAGATTCCATTATTTATGGCATTTAATTGCACATATACGGATATAAATGCAAATTAGCTGTACATGGGAAGCTGTAGTGTTAAACCTTTTCACTAATAAATACCCAGAAAGACTAGAACATTTGAGTACAAGCTAACATTTTCAAACATCTAAAATTCTTTGCAAGTGGATTATTCAAAAAACTAATGGTGACATTTTTGTGGTCTGAGAGCTAACAATGTGCCAAAATGTCAATGACTCAACTAACAGCCTTGGGCTCCCCTCACACCAACACCAAGCTATGTTTAAATAGCTGTTTATAATGATTTTGAGTCCTGCTTTCCAAATTGAAAAAGGAAGCCATATCAACACTAGCAATTCAAATAAGAAAACTATCTTTTTCTGCACTGTACCGCTGTCTCTAGAATATGGCCTGACACATATAAAACTTTAAAGCGTTTGCCTTTTATTTGCACCCTCCATTAAAATGTAGCCCTGTGAACATATGGCAAATATCACTGTTTCTGCAACTTTTCAACCTTTCCTTCATTACTTCAACTATAAATCCAGGGATTTTTAATGTAATTTCTCAGAGCATCGGGTCACAGTGTGTATTTAAACACATCAAAGAACTGCAGCTTTAGTGCTTTAGAAATTCAGATTACAGATGTGAACGCATCATTATTTTCTCATCAACAATAAATAATGAAATGAAGTGTTAGACTGTGGACATCCGGCTCAATTCTAATCTCAGATAAATGAGGACACACATTTGCCTATCCTGAAGAATCACCTCTACATGCATGAATAATCAGAAATAACGATTTTTTTTAAAAAAAGAAACAAAGTGAAATTAAATCAAATCACTATTAGTTAAGTGAAGAAAGCCAGTCCAAAGAGTACTCCTTAACAATACTAGTTTGGCAAATATTTATCCAGGTCATTGCAAAATCTCCACTTCTAAGAAGAGAGATGTTTGACCATAAAAGCACTAGTAGAACCTATCAGAAAGAACAAGAGCTGCCAACAAAATGATGCATTTGTTCTTTTGTAATCCATCAGTCATTTTTCTCAAGCACAACTTTATTTGTATTTACTTATATTATCCAAAACTAACTTTAACCTGTGTGTTGTTAGTGTTAACAAGATTTTTTTAAAAACTCTTATGTGGCTTTGACAGATTTTAATGTCCTAATACACCTGTGGCTATGACTCAGCATAAAGGTAATTCTTGTAGGGGAAAGTGAGGGGAAGGCATGATCCGCAAACAGAGAAGTGAGAGCTGCAGATCAGAGTTTCAGAAGTTAAAGTCGAATTTTAATTTGAAAAATTAAATTGAGACTTCCTCCAAATTGAGAATCTATTGCATTAGATTTGGCTTAATTTCTCTTAATAACAAAAATGCACAAATACAAAGATTTAAACACACCATCTATATGCCTGTACCCTGCTTCGCCAATGTTCTTATACTCTAATGACATCCACCATCATTCATGCAGGGTGTGATTCACAATCCATGAATGGATAAATGCTTAAACTGAGATTTTTTTTAACCACTGATGTGTTACATGGATACTGTTTCAGTGCATTATCATTAAGCAAACCATGTATGTCTCTTCTAGAAGCAGAAAAAGATGTATGGATGTGTGATGAGCTTCTTTGTGGATAAAGGCACAGACTTTGTTATTAACTTTTCGTTGGCCCTGAGGGGCCCAGGAAAATTTCTGTATTGACCCAGCACTTTTAGTTAACAAAAATGATCTGGAACACAGCCTTCTTATTTCCTAACATGGCAATGTTGCCTTTGTCTTCCAGCATACATACACACATTTACTTAAATCATCTTTACAGATGTGTGTGAACCGGAGGTATCTGTGCTCTATTTGTCTGTGAAGGGCAATAACAAAATGTTACAACCCATTTAGCGATAAACTATGCATCCTTTCTGCAAGTCTTTGCTTACATTTTATTTGCAACATTTCACCTCCTCTATAAATTTTATTTCATAGTCTTTAGTAATTTCTGGCAACATAAGTAGATACCCAGATGGTATCTCTTTTCTCCATAAGCCAGAAATAATGTCTCAATATAAATTCCAATCCCATCTTTTTATGATTTAGGTTCTGAATTTTAGAAAGCAGCAACACACACAAATATTGAGGCAAAACCTTTAGGTGAAAGGGATAGCAGCGAAATTTAAGTACAGGAAAGCAGCATATGATTTAACTAATACAGCAATACTAGAATTAAAAGAATACCTGATGACACAGGCGTAAAGACCACTGTCCTGCAGTAGCGTTGGCCGAAACCAAATGGAGTCTTCTTCCTTGCTCATTCTACTTCCATCAAAGGCTATTGGCTCTTCAAAATCTCCAGGACCAGAGCTTTTGTACCACATCAAACTGAGTCCAGCACTTTGGGCCAGGGAGTAATTTGCTCTGATATAGCCATAAAAGAGTGCGCATTTGATTCGAACAGGCTCTCCCACCAAAACTTGGTATTTCTTGATATCGACAGACCAATCAGTGCATCCATCAGCTATAGTGAAAAAAAGAAAGAGAGAAAGAAAACATTAGAGGAAAAAGTGAAGCCAATAGTTCAACAAATATTTATTGGACATCTCTATCGAGCTACATTCTACTCTAGGCACAGAGGATGCAGCAATGGATAAAACTCAGAAGGGTGCTGAGAAGTAATTGACTCTGCTAATAAACAATATATTCATCACTTTGTTTCTTCTGGTGTTTATTCTCATATATATCGGTACAATTGATTGGTTATTGGTTCATTGCCTTTTACTCTAAATCCACTTTTTTTTGCTTGTGTTTTGAAAATGGATCTGGACCTTTGAACTATTTCTCCTTTGCCGGCTGGGACTACAGCTTTGTTAGTAGAGGGCTCTGGAGAGACACTGAAGCAGCAAAGGGTTTTTCTCCCTGATTCCAGTATGCTTTCTTGGAAGGTTCTTGCAGTGGGGAGGCTTCTCCAGCACCTGACTCCTGCTTTTCCAGTAGCCAGCTCCTACAGTACATGGTAGCCAGCTGCTTGGAGATTTTTTTAGCAGAGCTTCAGGCAAGGCACCTTCCTGTGAACAGCTTTCTCAGGCAACTCAGGTAAATCTCTGTCAAGTTCCAGAGGGCAGATTTCCAACACATTCTCCCATTGTAGCACCACACTGATGTCTACCATTCAGTAAGCCATGAACCTTCCTAATAAGGTTTGGATCTCAGGTCTAGAGGTAGGAGGATGGGTGGGGGGGGGTTCCCTTGCATGCACTCTCAGCCATAGGGGTAAAATGAGGGCAATTCCTCTAGTCTTTAGGGTTCTCTTTTGCTATGGACTGAATGTTTATGTCCTAAAATTCACATGTTGAAGATTCAATCTCCAATGTGATGGCATTTGGAGGTGGGGTCTTTGGGAGAAAAGTATGTTTAAATGAGATCATGAGGGCAGAGCTCTCATAAAGGGGTTAGTGTATTTTTATAAAGGACACCAGAAAGCTCGTCTCTCCCTTCTCCCCTCCCTCCCTTCCTCCATGAGATGGGGCTCACAGAAAAGAGGCTATGTGGGCACACAGCAAGAAGGTGGCCATCTTTCAAGCCAGAAGGAGGGCTCTCAGTAGAAATCAAATCAGCCAGCACCTTGATCTTAGACATCTCAGCCTCCAGAACTGTGAGAAATACATTTCTGTGTGTAAGCCTTTCAGGCTATGCTGATTTGTTATGGCGACTGAGAAGACTAATACATCTTTCTTTTTTACTAGCCAATCTCATCACTTCAATGCCCTGTTACGTTTAATACTTCTTTATACAAACTTTCCTTGTTCAAATTAGTGTGTGTTTTATCCCTCTGATTGGACACTCAATGACAAAATCAGAAATTAAACATTTTGCAGCCAAATAAAGCCAAAAGAAACACAATATTAGGTCAAGCTCTGCTAGTGGTTTGACAGCCAAAGACAGAGGTAGACAGTCACTTAGCTCTGCTGGAAGCATCAATGGAAGTTTAAAATAGAAATGATAGTGGAAATGTGGCTGATGAGGGTGGGGGCTGGTTGGGTTTTCTGGGTTTCCTGGAAACACCACCTTACAAATGGCATCTTGACACCATTTTTTAAAATCACACACACACAAAACAACAGGTCTGCACACCACAGGTGTATCCCCATTATCATCATCATAGAGAAATGGTGGATTTCTTGCTTAGAGAGGGCAGTTGCCCATTAATTAGTAAGATAATCAATTTGACAGAACTTACAATATACAAATACTAAGCAAAAGAGCAAAAAAAAAAGAGGGACCTTTAGCAGCAGTAGCATCTGAGTACTGCAGGAAGAATTTGACTTGCTACAGATTAAAAAGAGGGCAAACTAAAGGATCTGAGAATAGGATGACTAATGTAGGATTCAAAAGAAGGAAAATATTCAAGATGAAAAGGAAAATGTGCATTATTAGAGCAAAGAAGACACATGATCTATAGAATTGTCTACATTTCTTTTTTTTTAATCTACATTTCTTATCCTAAAATAATACCTAACTTCTAATGAGCACTAAACTATGGCTGAGTTTACAAATTTTCACTTACCCTTCACAAAAATATCCCTTAGGGCTTTTGAACTAACTGTTCTCCCTACGTGAAAATTTGCTTTTATCTTTTTTTAAAAAATATTTTATTTATTTATTTTTTATTTGAGAGAGAGAGAGAGAGAGTGAGCAGGGGAAGGGGCAGAGAGAGAGGGAGAGAATCCCAAGCAGACTCCATGCTGAGTGTGGAGCCCAACATGAGGCTTGATCTCGTGACCCTGAGACCCCCACCTGAGCCAAAACCAAGAGTAGGACGCTTAACCAATGGAACCACCGAGGTGCTCCAATGTAGATGCTTTCTCCCCAACTGCATGGATTCCTCCCTCCCTTCCTCCAGAAATCACCTCCTTGAAGAAGTCTTTGTAAATGTCCTGTCCAAACAACAGCTTTTTATCCTGATCACTTATTTCAGATTCTGTTTCAATATTTTTTATAGAACTTACTACTCTGTGATGTTACATTATGTACCCACTTTCTGTTTGTTTTGACTCCCCAGAAGAATGTAAGCCCCTTAAGGTCAGGAACTTTGTCCTTCTAACTCATTTCTTTAGCCTAAGTGCCTGTAACTCTGCCTGCTAACCAGCTCAACACACAGTTACTGAGTGAATGAGTTTAAGCCCCAAGTTGGGTGCGGAGATTACTTAAAAATAAAATCTTAAAAAAAAAGTCTTTGGGGCACCTGGCTGGTTCAGTCAGTTGAGCATGCTAGTCTTGATCTGGAGGTTGTGAGTACAAGCCCCATTTTGCCTGTAGAAATTACTTAAAAAAATAAAATCTTTTTAAAAATAAAGTTATTTAGTACTTAACTATCAATTAGAAAAGTTTCAAATAGTTCAGAGTCAAAAGATAAGGAAAAGGCAGAGGTAAAATGAAGAAATAATAGCACCTTGGTTGTCAGAGACACCTTAAGTTCATTTTAATATGGAAACAGATGTAGGATCTATGGCTTAGGAAGTTCTATGACCATTAAGCTTAATGTATGATGTTCAAAAATAAACAATAAAATTATTAACATGTTTTAATACATTTTTGAGAAGGATAACAAATAATATAGAAGTAATTGAATATAGTTTCAAGTTATTTGGATAAACACATTTAATGATGGGATTATGTCTTTTTTCAGTAATTAAGGCATTTTAATAAATGAAGTGAGTGAAGAATGGTATCTTTTTTATCTTTGTAACATTTTGCCTCATTTATACACACATTCTTCTCTCTTACTCTGTGTGTTATAATTTTTTTCCTAAGCCATTTGAAAATAAGTTAGAAAAATAATGACATTTCACCCCTCAGTACTTCAGTATGCATCTCCTTATGAATACATTTTTTCTTATATACTCACAAAGCATTTTTTTTAAATCTTGTGTAGCAGGACATCTGAAATCTTACAACAAAACGTGATAACCTTACACCTAACTTTTGATGACCAGAATCACTACTGATTCATTCAGTTTTTCCTTATTTCAGCACACAAGCTTTGCTGGCTTGGGAACAATCATTCCAAAAGTATTGGGAACAATCATTCCAAAAGTTTTTCTAGACACTGTTAATTCTGTTATGTAAGTCACCATTACTATTATTAAAACTATTACCAGTAATTGAGTAGGCCAGGAGTATTTAATCTGTTTTTCTGTCTTTCAGAATAATACACCCTTCTTAAGCCTTCTCCCAGAAAGTTTACCATTTGTATTCTCCTTACTTGTTGAGAGGCTTTCATGGAAATACTCTAATTCAATGACCCCTCTGCAGTATACATACTCCCTCATAGTCCATGGGACCTTATGAAACCATAAAGTCATTTAGGAAGGCAGGAATAGGAAGCACTGTATTCATGTGCTTTTGCTGCCTCCTATAATGTTCTAGGAACTTATATGAAGGCAGTGATGGAACTAAGATTCAGAATTAATTCCTTTACAAGGGGTTCATACCGATATACCACTTTATGAACAAAGGCTACATAGACTGGATAATGCAAATATATTCAAATGAGATTAGGGAAAGAAGTATTTTTAATTAAGTCACTATTACTAATATTTCCATGGTAACAAGCTTGAAGGCTGCATTCCTTAAAAAAAGTATAACCATGTGTCAAGCTTACACATTACATTCTAATATGAAAATATAAGACTTTACTTCTAAAAGCACAAATTATATTACTCTTATCTACTTGGTTAGATACATTGGAATAATTTTTAAATGGTTAAGACATTTATGATAATGTAACAGATGCCCCAACCTGATCCCCTTTACTACACTGATGCATCCATTCCCCTCCAGCTACTTTGAGTATCTCAGGCTAACAGCTCATAGTTCTCTCCTTCTCTTAAAAGTTACCCTTGATTGACAAGAACCATCCTTTTGGGAAATTTACATCCCTTTGGGTGTGCCTACTGTCAATAACTGACCTATGGGAGTGTACAAAGGGCTGCTCCTTTGCATCACGTAGGGACATCCCAAAAGTGCAGTTTGTGTGCCAGAGCTCCTCTGTGTGTGGACCAGGCTGACTCCAGTTTACCTGTGACCTCTTCCCTCAGAAAATTTCCCTCTCCTATTCTGCTCCCTTCCTTCCCTTTTAAGATTTTCCTGAAGAGCACTCAATCAGTTTGCACCTTAAAAATCCCTGATTGGGCTCTATTCTAGGAAAGCTGATCTAACACAGATTTATTCATATGATGAGAACTAACTTCATCCTAATTTCTGTCCTAGGGGTTGGAAATCAAGAGAGACAGATATAGCCCTTATCTATAGGCAGACAGATATTGACTTTGGAAGTGCACACAAAATTAAAGACAAGGAAATAACAAGTAGCAGAATTCTGCAGGTTTTGTGGTATAGAAATGAGTTTATTTCTAAAGATTTTATTTATTTATTCATGAGAGACAGAGAAAGAGAGAAAGAGGCAGAGACATATGCAGAGGGAGAAGCAGGCTCCATGCAGGGAGCCCGATATGGGTA